TACTAGTAATTAGCCGTGTCTTCAGTTTGGGGAAACCTAAACTGGCTTCATCATCCCCTAAATAGAAAACAAAACATGATTAATTTCTAAAGCACTGCGTCAACCAAGCTTTTTTTTGTTGTTTGTTTTGTTTTGTAATTAAAGACACCCTGGGGCTTCACAAATGGAGAGTTTGGAATCACCTCTATGACATCCCCCAAACCCACCCCTATCCTTTCACCCCACAGCTACGATCTTTTAGATTGCTAGACCAGTATCATCTTTTGCCTGAATTACTACAGTGGTTATTACATACGGAGTTCCTCAGGATTCCTGCTAAACGCTCTTCTCATTGTCTCTGGTGGGTCTCCTCCTTTCCCAGGGCTTCAGTTATGTGAAGGACACCTATGTCCCCATCTCCAGCCCAGACCCCTCACCCAGTCTGACTTCAAATGTGCCAAATGACCATACTCACATCCATATCCCATCAACATGTCTAACACACCTCCCTACCCCCCTCATCCAAACCAACGGCTCAAATGTCTGGGATTGGTCCCCCTGACTTTCTGCTTACATAAGCCAGAAGTCTTAGGTATTAACTTCCAGACTTCCCTCTCTCCCTCCCTCCTTTTCTTCTCCGTCTCTCTCCCTAACTTAGTAGAACTGGACTTTCTATACCCAGGCCTGCCCTCTTCAAACTGATGCACTCTCTCAATGGCAAAGAGAGCAAGCTCTCTAAAACGCAGACCTGATCCTGTCATTCCTCCAGTGTAAAAACCTCTTAATTGCTTCCTATGCTCTCGGGATGAAACAACTCCTTAGAGTGAATCAAGGAGCTCTTGCCATAAAGCTCTCTCCCTCCCAGCCTGACTTGCTGTCATCTCTATACCTTCAATTCCTTCTGTGTGTGTGGCTCCTTTCTGCCTCTGAGCCTTTGCTCCTGATCTTACCCTTGCCAACACCTATCATTTATCTCCTCTGACTTTTTTTAACTCATGTGATCTTGGAAATCCCAGCTTAGCTGTTGCCTCATCCAGGAGGGATGTTGCCTCCTCTTTGATTCTAGAGACTGGGTCAGGCATTCCTTCTATGAGCCTCTACGGACCTAAGTACTCTGAATCTGCTGAGGCTGAATCTTTTTCCTCCTTCATTGGACTGTAAACACCTTAAGGGCAGGTACCTGTTGATTTCTAATTGCAAAATGGTGCTTAGTACAGTGTCTGACACAGGGTTCATATTCACATTGTTTATATTATGCATACTGTATCCAAAATACCTACCGATTGAATAATAATGACATCAATAGAAATTCAGTGTGTAAATGAAGCCTTATCTTAGGTTTCCCAAATGCATTATACTAATATGAAGGCAGCTGAGAATTGTTGCATATCTTCTTGTAATCTTTAGTCCCAGAGGCATTGTAATGGAAATTTGAGTCATTTTTTTTTTTCAAATTCACTTCCATTTATGTTACAAAACGACTTCGGCACCTGCCTTATTTTCTATTCCCATACCATTTTTAGGGACTTTAACATTTCTCTTAATAACTTCATTCCCACTGGGCCTCAACCACATCAGCAGCCCATACCAGAGACAACACAATTACACAAAACTGTTATATACTTGAGATCTGAAACTCTGACCTTCCCTTTGGAAACTCCGCCTCCCTTCCTTCCATTCTCTCACCACCAGAGTTAGCATGTCAAATGCCTTCCAGCTCCTTGAAGCTTTTAGGTTGGGGGGATCCAGACCACCTGTTATGTCACTTTGCTTCTCTAGTACACTTGGCCAGCCATTTCAGTGATGTATTTGCTATTATATCCAAATCCTGCATTCTCTCTACATTCGGCCATTCATCACTGACGAATGACTTCCAAGAGGACTTTCTCTTCTCACATTCTTCAACTGCTGAAAGCTGAGGAAGAAAATAATGTGGAAGTACCTATTAGGTCATTTGCAGTTTTGTGCAGTCTCATCAGCTGAATGCTAGCAAAACCGAGTATAATAAAAAAAAATTATGTTATTTATCTTGTTGTTTACACCCTATCAAGTCCCCCACAGAGGCTCCAAAATATTCCCCCCCCATCTTAAGCCCCCAGTGGAGGGCTTTCCTTAGTTGGTTTGCTAGAAAACTTCCACAGAGCCACTGGACTCTTTGGGCTAGATTCCAATCCAAAGCTCCCCCCTCAAATCCTACTATTGGAAGAAACAAAGCCCTTGGGAAGAGAGATTTTAGGTAACAGATGGAAACTGAAACATACAAAGAGTAAGACTACTCCTTTCCTGAAAATGAGGGAAGAAGGCAGAGATTAAAAACAGGCAAAACATGAAAAATGTGGAGAAAATTTGAGGTAGAAAGAAGTTGAGTTCGGAGACTAGACATCAAATGCCCTTACTTTCTCCGAAGAGATTTATTTAATAGAAAGATTAGTGGAGTGGGCATTAGAAGGCTTGACACTTTATTTCTTTTTGCCTCAATGTCCTCCTCACCCAAAAGAAAAAGTTGAACTCCATGGCCTCTGAGATGTCCTCCAGCACTAATGTCTGCAGAGTCAAGCAGACTTTCTGAACATCCACAAGGGTCTCCATCATGGTGTGTGTGTGGGGGGGTGGCACAGAAGATGTTGGGAATGCAAAAAGGAATGTTCGTGATACAGCGACAGGGGAGCTTCCTTGGCATTTAGTGAGTGAGACTTGACCGTGTGCAGGACTGATTTCCACAAGAAAGCATTGTCCCACCCTCCAAAATGTTGATGGGACTCCCTTTGTACAACACTGCTGTAATCACATTGTAGAAGTCCTAAAGACAGGCATCAGTTATTCTACTTTGTGAGATCCCTTGGCAGTGACTCTTCAGGACCAGCTGAATTTGTAGTCGGTGCTCAGTAAAGGCTTGTGAAAAAATTCTGTGGCCATACAAGTTGTATGTAACGTGAATCTTTGCAATTCTACAATGATTTCCCATTGACATACATTTTAATTTCAGAGGCGCTTTAGCTTCACTTCTGATTGACTTTTAATTGGCAATGACTCCTAACACTGAGAGAGCTGTTATTAAAATGGAACCCTGCAGGGAATCCATTTGTAAAGTGATAAATCCTTTTATAGTGTGAATAATCACCCATTAATTGATCTGGTTTGTAAATGTGAATTTTCATATGCTGCATTTTTTTAAAAATTTTAAATGTGGGCACGACTATAGTCTCCTCATTATAATCTTAAAGTTCAAGAAGGGTCTAACATATATGACAGTTTTTCTATTTTACTACTGCTTCCTTGTTAGTAACATCCAGGCTTCCCCTCCTATTAATTCCTCTTATAGGATATCTTGAACAATTCTATTTAAATAATAATCTGTTGCTTGCAAAACTATTGGTCTGTTTGTTTAGCTTTAAAATACAATAAGCTATCTTTCTCTGGGGATCTTTGGGCCACTTGCAGATTTTAAAATTGCTTTTATTCCTAGAGGGTTTCCTTTAATATAGAAAGGCTATATTCCACCTTTTACCATTTATGAAACTGAGTCACAGACTGGCCAACAGAGCATTACTACATCAGTATCTGTGGCTGAGATGACAGCAGAATTCAGATCACCTCAACTCTCATTAAAGAGCTGCTTCTTGACTAAAGCAGATTTTCTTAGCTCTGCAGAGCTCTCTTCAGGATGGCTTCCTGTGACTGACATGCTACTGTTCTGAGACATGGTCACGTGAGTGAGCTGACTCGGAGAATGTTACAGGTGTCTGTCTCTTTGGCTGATTCAAACAAATTCCATCCCTAGCTTATTTGCTAGAAATGAACTCCATCACATTAGGTTTTCCATCGGTAAACCCATGCTTGATAATATTCCGTCCTGCTGCTTTGGGTATTATAACAGTTCATGCAGAAAGTGCTGGATTAGCCTCATCACAGAAGATGATAGGGGATATAAATGCACACAGAATATTACTACCGATAATTATGGAGGGAACGTTTAGCCTGGTGTTCAATCCACGATGCTCATGGTGTAGTTTATAACAAAAAGAATCTCAAAGGCTCTGAAGATACCTGTTTCTGAAGTAATAGTACCATAGGGCTCTTGGGTAACATTCATTAATGTTTAGCATAACTATGGGAAGTTTTGGTGTTTTTTCTTTAAGGTTGCTATGGTACACTTTATTTTTTAACATTTCCACTTCAGCTTCTTTCCGCTCCTTTTCGATGGACACAGGCATCACTCTCTATGATATATTTTCCTTCTATTATTCTGTCCTTGGACTTATTAATCCATCATTTTATTTGACCCTGCTTTTCAAATGTTAGATATAAGCTGAGATATTTTTCTTGAATAGCAAAATAAATGGGATGTGAAGATTCACTCAGAATGTATCTTTCTTATGCTTTTTTTTTTCATGTACTCAGGAGAAGCCATGGGGACATGCCTCCTTCTGACTTCATTCCCCTCTGACTAGTCCCCTCACTATAGATAACATGGCATGATCCTGAGCGCTGGTTAGTTCCCTATCCAGGTGGGTGGGAAAAGCAAGAAAGGGGACATATAGAGGTTTACCAGAAAAACATAAGTGATGCTGCATCAGCACAGAAGCCTCTCCACTCAAAGAGAGTCGGTTACAAGCTAGAAAGAGACAATAACATTAAAAGCAATATTTCTGTCATGAGGCCTTCTCAGAGCTATGAAACTAACCTGCTTGTATTTTTTTTCTACAGCCCATAAAAGGGATCACAGCCAGAAAATACGAATCCCATAGGCTGCTATTATGCTGATGACAGTGAAGAAAGGGGGAAAATTGTTTCGTTGCTGAATTGCAGATATAATTATGACATTTTATATATTTTGCAGTCTGTACCACAGTTGTATTAATATCTACGATGCCCTATGGCAGGAGAGAAGTTAGCACCTTAATGCAGGCCACTCAGGCTCTGATTTTGCTAAGATTGAATCCCTCTGGCTATTTACTAATATGAATTTTGCGGTTAAAGGGATATTCAGAAGCAGGTGATAATGGCTGCGTCTTTTTCAGGACCCGCTGATTCATACAAATCATTTGTACCAGTGCAGGAGAGAAGCTAATTGCGCTTGGACAATGCGGCTTTCACTGCCAAGACCGGCAGCCGAAGTCTAACTGCTTACTTCAGCCAAAGATGGATACAATGGGGTGTTGAGAAAAATGTAAATATGCAGCTTTCGTTCATAGGAGAAATGTTTGGGAGTCAATCTGCAGGGGTTTACAAATCAATGCAATTATGACGAAGAAGCTGCAATTCCTGTTAGTGAGATCACCTGGCAGTCAAGTGTGTGTGTGTTGGGAAAAAAAAGTAAAAATACAAAAACAGCTATCAGTACTTTCAAATGTAACTCAGGCCAAAGGTTGGGGTTGGCCACCCGGTCCATACCTGATATTAAGAATTAAATATTCCTGGTGAACAGTGAGTGAGCCAATAAATAAACAAACAACATTTTGGGAGATGCAGAATAGACAGGGAAATAAAATGTGTAGTAATGAAATATTCATAACCTTGCATTTTATGGACCTCCAACACTAGTTCCATGATTTACACTATTTCTGTATGCAGTAGTATGGGATCTGCCGAACAATAATAAAGATGGTATTAGAATGCTACTGCCTCAGTGTCATGGAGAGGGGGGATTAATCAGCATTGTACGATAGCTGTAAACTTGAGTAAAGAGAAGCACATACAGATAGTTGCTTCCCTGTACACTTTCTGCTTGGCCCATGGAAATAGAGGAGATGAGGAATACAGTAAATACAAAAAGAATGAGTGTGATCACCCAGCTTCATAGAAATGCCCACATTATTTTCCAAGCTGTGGCTGATCAGGGGGGCACTGGGACAGACCAGTGGCTCCCAAGAAGGTGTGGTGGTCATTATGTCACATCAAGGGTTACCTGTTTAAAAAATCATGGCCCACCTGACCCCTAAAGCCAATTTGCTGTATGTTGAACTTGGTAATGTCCTTAATAGGAAAGAGGGGCTCGGGGGTCAATCTGGCTTTTGCCCTCACCTACTGTCATCAAGCTCTGGTCTGAAGAGACACAGAGCTGCAGATGAAAACCTGGAATGAACAGATTAACAGCTCTACCATCTTGCTTTAAAGAATATCTTAAACATCCCTGCTATATTCCTGTCTGTTCTAGAGCCATCCTCAAACTCTCAGCATTTATCATGTCCCAGATTTCACAGCATAGTTGGCTGTCAGCTCGGTCAGAGTTTCTGCTATGGAGTTTTCCTCAGCAAGGCTGGTTTCTCCCCTACTTTTGCTGAGGGATCAGATAGCGCGCTTCCTGGGAGCTGAGAGTGCCCTTTGCGGTGATAAAACCATGGCATGGAACAAAGCTCCATGAAAACTATGTGTCGTTCTCTGATGTCTTTCTGACTTGCAAATATCAGTGACTGGGACCCTGTTCTCTACCCCTTCCTGTTTTAGATGAACAAAGCTAATTAGCCATCGACATGCCTCCAAAGCATGAGCCTAACACTCAGAATACGTCCACTAAACTTCCTATGGGAAGTTTGAATATATTTCATTAAAATTTTAGCATTTATCTTTTGATATTTCCTTTGTCATGGTAAATCACCATCTCTTCCATTTTCCTTAATGAGACAACATGGTAAGCCAAATTTCCTACAGTTATATATTAGGATTTTGATGAAAATAGCATGCTTTTATTTCTTATTAGACCTAAGGGATATACTTATTGTTTGGGGCCTGAGGGCACACTTACCAAACTTTTTTATTATGTAAATAAATTATCCATTCCAGAGAGAGTCAGAACGCATATCCATATTGGTGACAAATAGGCATGATCAATATATTAGCTATAAATCTTGGGGAATAATTGTTACCCTTTGCTCATCCCTCTATTTTCATTGCTCAGAGCTAGGAGTATAGTGATGAGCAAAGGGTAATAATAATAGGTTCTCAGTAAATGGTGAAGGAATGAATCAGTGAATTCCATGGCCTTGGTGAATTTTTCTTGGTCTTCTATGTGATGAGGTTGGCTGTCATGTTGTTACAGAGAAATTAATCCAAGATGGGATGTGTTGTTGTCAAGAGTGATTAGTAGGAATATTGAACTTAATTAAAACACAGCATTTTGTTGGATTTCCTGGAAATATGGTTTCTTCCAGAACATCCTTCTTTTTTTTTTTTTTTTAAACTCATCCTTGTGTCTTCCTCTTTAGGTGCTGGAAGATGCTTTTACTTGGAATCTTCAAGCATGTTCTCCTCTGCTATCTACTCAGGAATGCAGGTGGAACTGGGGATGCTTTTACTCAATTCTAATGGTGTTTTTCAGAATTTTCCTATCTTGTTTATGTGTGTGTGTGTATCATATATATTTTATACACACACCTACAGACACACACACACACATACGTCTCAGCTATATACACCTGATGAAATACAAAAGAGTGAAAAGGTAATAAACTGAAATTCTGTGAAGCTGTTGTCTGATCCAGAGCCTCTGAAAAGAAGAAAAGCTTAGAATATTTGGGGCCAGATGATTTCAAAGTGTTTTATAGAGACTGACAATGTTCAAAGATTAAAAGTGATGAAGGGTAAATAAATCATAGGAAGTAATGACAGGAACCATCACCTACCTTGGGAAACAAATGAGATGAGTTATCTCATTACTTATGAAAAGCAACCATTAGTGAATCATAAGTATTGCTTGAAACATGCACTCTTCATTTAGCTGCAGAAATGGTTCTGAACCATCAGGTTAGATGAATGCTCCCAGCCATACAACCCTGCTAACCTGTTCATTCATTTAGGGCCTTTCCACTCCCTGCAAATATTCCCCAAAACAGTCCCCAAAAGGGGTATACTTTATTCTAGAAAGGTAATAACAGCAGATCCCGAAATAAAGTTTTAAAGATAATAAATTGCAAACTCTACCTTTTCCTTTTCTTTCCCCTCCTGCTGGCATCCGTATAAAAGTCTCCCTCTATAACATTTTGGTCTAAGTTGGATAAAACATACCTTCCCAGGGTTCTCTATTTGCTAATAGCAAAAGAGCTGAATTGTTGCCATTGAACTTGCTGGGAAGTGCTTTGACTTTAGGTGAGCTCACAATCAGCTTATCACTGCAGTGCTGTGATTCGGGTCATAATTAAAAGATTTCACTACAGAAAATGACTGTGCTGCTTGTACATTCCTTTCATGTCCTTGAGGGAGAATGACATCAATCACTTGTTTGCTTTCATGTGATATTTTAAAGGCAGCATGATGAAATAGAAAAAAACCAAAACAAAACACCAAAGCCATAAAAGACAGGCCAACTTTCCAATTCTGGCTCTGTCAATGAGGAGCTTTGAGAACTTGGGCAAATTACTTAACATTGTTGAGCCTTAGCTTCTTCAGCTGTACAATGGGCCATAACACCAGCCTTGCAGGGTTCCTATGGATTAAATTAAGTAATGTATTTATGTACCTGATATTTTTGTAGGCATTCATTCAATGCTGTATTATCATTATTCTACCCTCTAGTCCTCCTTTCTACATTTCTATTTCCTTCAGTATTACACTCCTCTGGGAAGTGATGCAATTCTGCCAGGCTCTAAACTGCTTGATAAGAAGTTATGAGAGGGGCCGGCTGAGTGGCGCGTTGGTTAAGAGCTGGCTTGGGACGCCAGAGGGCCCCAGTTCAGATCCCACACATGAGGGCCAGTGACACTGCCCTCTACAGCTAAGATGCTGAACAACAGCTCAACCTGGAGCTGGGCTGCCGTCGACAGCGACGTTGTGGGTTGCAGCCCCTGTGGCATTGGGTTGCCATGGGCTACTGTGTATAGCCAGCAGCCAGTGTGAGCAGCCAGCAGCTCACCGTGAGCGGCCGTCCAGAAGCCGGCGACTGATCTGCCTCACCTGGGAAGAGCGCAATGATGGTGCCAACTTTGGTGAAGCAACGTCCTCCACAACTAGACTGAAGAACAAAAGGACAGCAACTTGTCTGTTCCCCTTCCCCCAATTCCCCAGCGCTGTTCCCATCCCCCAATTCCCCAATAAAAATCTTAAAAAAAAGAAGTTATGAGAATTAATGAGACCAGTGAGCTCACTTTCTTTTTAATCATGGAATGCTGAAAGGACTCCCTATCCATGAAGTATTTTCAATTTTTCCACAAAAATGTCTCCTCCCCATGACCCATTCTAGCCCTTTGCTTCTATCCCAATTTGAGCCATAATTTAAGTAAATATTCTGTTACAGCTTGTGGATTAGATGACTCTTTCCAACAGGCAGCAGGGAGCTCCTTTAGGGAGACCCAACTTTGTTTCTGCCATAGACAATTCCACCACAACTGGGGTCTCCAAAATACTCATTGATTGGACAGAGATTGCAATAAGGTGCTCTCCTGGGCTTGGGAGAAGAAAGAAAATTCATGCACACTCACTCTCCAATTCTGCTCTGCAGCAGTACATGGTTCAGTTAGAGGATCAATCCAAACATATAATCTAGATCGTGCAACTTTAAGAAAGACAAAATGGTCCCCATCCTTCTGCTCACATCAGGAGGTCCCTCAAGGAAATTCTCCAGGTTGCCCTACTTACCACCTCCCTAAGGAGATGTGTTTTCCAATTCTTTCCTCCCCACCCTAAATGCTACCTTCAGTACAACCAGGAAAAGAAAAAAAGAAAAGAAAACCAACCAGGGATTCTACAACTAATTATAGGTTTTATAAGATTCCGACATAGCCTTTGAAGGGATGGTAAAGAAAAACAATTGGCATCACAAAGTATGGTGGAAATGATACAATCTGACTGGATATTTTCAAAGGCCTTTGTAAAGAGGCGGTGGACATGTGATGGCGCAGCAGGGCTCTTTCTGTAGAGGAAGAGAATGATTGCATTTTTTGCTTTTGGTGAATCTGGGAAATCAGGCTGTCTTTCTCTTGAGGTTTCCTGATCTTTTTTCTTTCATGTATAGTATCAAACTAAGCCAAAATTTAAATATTTTGAGAGTTTCGGGTGGCTTGTTCATTCACGTCACACTCTTTTAATCAACAAACAAGGGTTGCTGTGGCAGAGTTACCAAGAGAATGGGCTCTGGAGCCCCCTGCCTAGTCTGAGTTTTGCCTCTGCTGCTCACTATCTGGGTGACCTGGTGAAAGCTGTTTACCTTTCAAAGTTGGTTTACAGTTTCCCCATCTATAGAGGAAGGAAAATGATAGAATCCACCTTATAGGGTTATTCGGAGGATTGAATGTGTTATTACAGGCAAAGCATTTCTATAAATGGCCTGGCACACAGTAGACTCAACACATTTAGCTAAAAAGCAATAATGAATCCCACCAAGCCCATTTGTAGGTACCTCTATGTACTAGACACATGGAGTTAGGTGGTGGGCATTAAAATGAATGACAGGTTGTTGGTCTCAAAACCCTCATTCTAGTAGGAAGAAAGATATGTAAGCAAGCAATTATGGTGAAGTATGGTCTGCATTTATACTGTGTGGCACCCTCATTTCTGGTGGGATGGAAATTTGGGGACAGCTTTCCAGAGAAGGTAATAGCTGTGCTGGGCTTTGAAAGAGTAGTTCATGTTTTCTAGGTAGAGAATGGGGCAGGGGACAAGAGTGGTTCCATGAAGAAGGTATGGCATGAGTGAAGCCTGGGTGGATGATGTGACATTGTATTCTGCAATGGCAGCTGCTCTGACATGGCTTGAGCGGAGGTACTATGGCTAGGGCAGTGATGAAGAATGAAGTTGGCTGGGGGTAGGTGGCATACTATAGCATGCTAGAGATCATCAGTGAGGGGCTTCCATAACTGGCGTCCAAGCTAGGGGGTGTCATGATCACATAATCGAGCACTCATTTCTTATTGTATTCATGCTTCATTTAAGCACTCCGAGAGAAATCATTGTAACTAAGAAGCATAACTAACACACACTTGGTGAGTTTGCAATCCAATTCCCCTTGTACTTCCTACTGATAATCACCTGTTGCCTTGAGCTTATCGCTTCAAGTCTCTGAATCTCATTTTCATCAGGCTTGTTGGGAGGTTTGAATGAGATAATATATGCTGGCACTTTGTGAACGGTAAAGGAACAGGGAAACATGTCATATTAATTGATGAGTGCACTTTAAATCCTTTTGGAACAAGAAAGGCACAAAGTAAATTGAGCATCATGGCCCCTCCTACCAGCCCATAAACAGAGGGCTGTATCCTCTGGGGGACTAGTGGGGACAATGCTTAATATCCTCTAACAAGAATGGCAATGGGTTGGGCCGGCTGAGTGGCTCAGTTGGTTAAGAGCTCACTAAAGAGTTTGAGCTCTGAGCAACAGCGGTTCGATTCCTGGCCTGAGCTGAGAAGCCACTGAGCTGCCAACAGGTGGCAGGATGGCTCGGCTTAGGAAAAAAACAAAAAGAAACGGAGCCAGAACAGGGAAAAAGTTGAAGGACTGTAAAACTTAATGGCCTTGCCTTCTGAAAATGTGAGATTTCCTTTAACCTCCATTGCTCCATCTTAATTTAGAAATGACACCTGCTGTGTAGGCACTCTGACCAGGACTGGAGACCATCTACATACTAGACGGTGCAGACAATGGTTTAGAGGGTAGTCTTCAGAGTCAGATGTGTAGTTTTGACCCTAACTGAATTGTTGAAGACCCTTGGGCATTTTAGCTATTCTGTCTCACCTTGCTCATCTGTAAAATGCAGAAAATAATATCAATTCCTATTTTATCATCAGATTGTTATCAAGACCTAACGTGATAACATAGACAAGCACTTAGCATAGTGCCTGGTTCATAATCAGCATCCAGTAAATTCATCACTGCATTTATAAATTTAAAAACTGAAATTCAAATTGTTCTTTAATTATGGACCCCAAACCCCTAACTAGTAAAAGGCACACTTGGCTTTTAAACTTAAACATATACAGCTCCAAGGCTTCCATTTTTTTACCCATATCATGCTGCCTCTCTTGATATGTCATAGACCCCAACACAAAATCACAGCACTGGTATAAAAATGAGGAATTGAAAGTGAGTAGAGTTGATATTTCTAGCTTGTCAAGTTTTAAAATTGTGTCCAAGTAAACACGCAGTAACCTGAAAGTGAGTTGCATATTTAAGATTCTTCCTAATAATCTAAGCTGTTATTAGCCGTGGATAAGAAAACACTAATTTTAAAAAGAACTGTATATGATTTTTTTTACCCTGATGCATTTTTTACCTCTAATGCAATGTACATAGTATAAATAAGTAATGTAATCAAGTGTATCTTTGGAAGAAAAAGTTAATAATCTTACTGGGGAGCTGGAAATAAATGGTGCTCTTATTGCATCTATTACAAATCACACAAATCAAACCACTCCAACCTGATACTATGTATCATTTGAATATTTTGAATCCCTTTGTGACCCTTCTTACCTTCTCAGTTGCCCCTGGGCTCACAGGCAGAGCATGATATGGAGAAGCTGCATGGGATGGGTTCAGGAGCAATTCGGAACCTCCATACCCTATTTGTGACTTCCAAAGGTGCCAGGATCCGTGGACTTGCATGGGAGAGCTGGAGACACCAGATGGCTGGGCTTAGCATCCAGGAGCCCAGAATGACTGTACTACTCATGTCAGTGGTGACAAATGGCTGACGAACTGACCCACACAACTGGATGATAAAGGGAAACCAATTTGTGCTTGAGAGACTACCAAGTGAATGAATTGTTTGTAAGAGAGGGGAGAGGAGACAGTGTGACACTGAGCAGAGAGTGGGCAGAAGGACATTATAGGAAAGAGCAGAGAGGAAAAGGAAGCAATGTGGGTCCCTCTGAGGCCTCCACGGGGTCTTGCTACTGGGAGAGCGTCTGTAAG